CCTCAGCTTACCCCCGAATCCCAGGGTAGGCAGAGTACCGACACTGTCGTGCTGCTCAGAAACCCTCAGCTTACCCCCGAATCCCAGGATAGGCAGAGTACCGACATTGTCGTGCTGCTCAGAAACCCTCAGCTTACCCCCGAATCCCAGGATAGGCAGAGTACCGACACAGCAAGGGTCTTACCCTCCACTTGTTTCAGGGACTGTCTGACTCTGCTTTCTCTCATAAATGTGTGTCACCTTGGATAAAAGCAACTGCAAAATAAATGTAATGAGTTATGAAAGTTATCATGATTACAAAATTAAGCTTTACAAAAGGCAGCATCAATTTCTTTATGACAGATCACAGAAATTACAACTTTGCAAAAAGCATGTAATGGAATGTTTGCCTCCATTGTCATCTAGCAGTCTTTCCCTCATTCTTCCCATTTCCCTGTTTTCATATAATTCTGCATTTATTATGTAACAATGTATTGCAACATACCCATGTAAAGCACCTTGGGATGACTGTTATAAAATGTATTAATGTATTGTATTAGTGTATTAAATTCATGTATTTTATGTATAAGCACTTTATATGCTATATTTCATAAAACACAATAAAACAGTGGCACAGTACTGTCAGTTAATTTTTAAAAACTTTTTGAATAATTATTTAAAATAATCAAATTATCCATCTTCCATACTTGCTTATCTAATTCCGGATTGGGGGGTAAATAGTGATGATCTGTTATTAGGGCAATATTCTTACTACCTTTGCATCATTTAAATACTAATTTCTTAGCACAGCATTTAAACAATGTTCATGTACAGAAATGCATTCATTTAAATATTAATAATGGTTCTTAGCTTTACATTTTTTATTTTGCATCCATACATCCATCTTCTGTCACTCAACCAGGTCTGGGTCGTGGGGGCAGCAGGCTAAGCAGGGATGCCCAGACCTCCCTCTCCCCAGCCACCTCCTCCAGCTCCTCCAGGGGGATACCAAGGCGTTCCCAGGCCAGCTGAGAGATAAAAACTCTCCAGCATGTCCTGTGTCTGCTCCGGGGTCTCCTTCCGGTTAGACATGCCTGAAGCACCTCCCCAGGGTCCCATCCTAGTTAGATGTCCAAACCACTTCAACTGGCTGCTTTTGACATGAAGGAGCAGTGGCTCTAATTGAGCTCTTCCTGAATGTCTGAACTCTTCACCCTACCTTTAAGGCCTACCTTGTATCTGCCTCTTATATCTGCAATCTCATTCTTTTGGTCAGTACGTTGGTGCTCGTGACCCTAAATGAGGGTTAGAACATAGATCGACCAGGAAATCCATATCTATGCCTTCTATCTAAGCTCTTTCTTCACCATGACAGACTGGTACAATGGCCACGCTTCACCGATCTGCCCGTCAATCTTCCGTACTCACTGCATACAGCTACAGCACATGCCAGAAGTTACAGCCTGATGAAGCCAGCAGGAACGTATTATGTTCAAAAGCAATCCTGAGGTCACCACCCCTTGACTGTGCCTAAAAATTCTAAGCATAAAGGTTGTAAATAGAATCAGTGACAACGGTCAACCCTGGTGGAGTTCAACACCCACCAAGATCAAGTCAAACTTAATGCTGACCAAGTTCTCCCTTCAGTTATACAGGGGCCTAATGGCCTGTAATAACGGACCCCATTCCCCCGTACTCCCCTGTATTTGACTGCCTCTGTTGGACCCTGGAGGATGGGCTCCCCTTTCAGTCTGATTTCTCCAAAGGTTTCTTCCTTCTAGGGAGTTTTTCCCTGCCACTGTCACCTCTGGCTTACTCACTGCGGGCTTTGGGCAGGGATAATGTAAAGGGCTTGGAGACAATGGAATGTTGTGAAAATGCGCTATACAAATAAAATTTAACTAATTGCAACAAGATTTGTGAAGATAATCTCAGTGTGAACTCTAGAACTCAGATTCAGCGTTACACCAGTAGAGACCTTTATGGATATTACAAGCCCAGTAATCATGTTGGAAATTCGAAAGTGACAGGCTTCCTTCGGATTTAGGAAGCTGAAGAACTGACTTCCTGAGATGAGCAGGTCAATTATTCCACAGGAATGCAGTCAGCTGCTGCATTAAAACTAATAAAAAAAGATTCATTGATGAGTATTGGGATGTATTGAAAAAGATAAAGAAATTTTGGGAGCATTTTCTCTATTTTTACAAGATTGACACACCCAGCCAAGGACAGGGGAAGAGCAGCCCTTCTAGTTAAATCTGCTTTACGTTTAGCTAGCAGAGGTGAAAGTTGTACTGGAACATCCACGAGAGCTGGTGATAATCACCCCCAAGGCATTTAAAACCATTCAATGTTAGTTTAAATAGAAATGTGTCACTTTTGCTGCTTGATTTACAAAAAATATTTCACTTTTTTGAAGACTTAATTTGTATCCTGACAGTTGTTTGAACTGCTCTGAAATTGGTAATATTAGAGGGAGAGAAGATCTGGATTTAGAAATATACAGGAGCAAGATGTCAGTGTACAGAGAGAGCTGAACCAAACCATGACGTGAAATGCCCTCAAATTTATTCTGACTGCTTAACCAAAAAGCCGATGGCTCCACTGCAGTATTGAAAAGCAAGACAGAATGTGGGCATCCTTGGCGTCTCCCCCATTGAAGAGAAAAAGGTAGGGGTTGAATTCCACTAGTATGCATGAACGCAGAAGGAGAGCTGTAAAGAGGCTGAATCCAGGAAATAAAACTAAGGTCAAAGCCAAATTTTTCAAGTATGCAGAACAGATAACCTCATTCTAACCTGTCAAAAGCCATTTCAATATCAAGGGACACTACAATCAGGCAGGCAGGATAGAATGAAGGATATTTAACAATGTCCTAGTGTTGAAAAAAGGCCTGCTACAAAACCTGTCTGATCTGGAGCGATTAGAGTCAGCATTACTTTCTGCAGATGGTGGGAAGGAATGTTAGCCAGTATCTTATAATCAACATTTAGGAGAGAAATTGGTCTACAGCTAATACATAAGGTGGTATTCCAAGAAACGCACGACAGCATCAACACTGATGGATGGCAGCTGGTCTACTTACAAAGAATCATTGTACAGAGGTACCTCGGTTC